GGCTAGCCCTACCTCGTGGCGTTTTATAGCAATCCACTAGTTCACTAATTTTGTCTCCCACTCAAGCAGTCGAAAGAAGCTAATTAGTGGAAAAAAAACCTTTGTTATATAACATTAAGTATGCTATAATCTGAATTACCTTTTTGTCCATTACTACTGAACCTGAGCATTTGTCTTCAGTACACCAAGCATACAAAGCAATAAATGGCCGGTTGTCGGTGTTAAAACACAGGACGACCATAAAACAAACTATTAAATCTGAAGTCTGAAGTATGAAGTATGAAGTATGAAGTATGAAGTCTGAAGTCTGAAGTCTGAAGTCTGAAGTCTGAAGTCTGAAGTCTGAAGTCCCCCCAGAGCTTCCGTACTCAACAGAGTACAATTTGGGATTTAATTGTACTCTTCTTGTTCAAACAGAACTTCGACTCGGGTGTAATGTTTTCCCATCTCAGACAACGTGTCATTCCCTTGAGAGTAAGATTCTTTGTTTGAGTTGTATTCATATTTATGTGTCTTCTCATGTGCAACCGAGCGCAACCATAAAACAAAGAAATGATACTCTAGGCAATGACACGCGGTTTGAATTGGGAAAACATTACGCCCGAACCAAGGAGGTCTATTCCATAGCACGACTTTCTATTCGCATTAATTTTGTATTATTATTATTATTATTACTTATTTATTTATCTCAAGCCCGAAATGGACTCGCATTACATTGCAATATCCAACAAGTACGATTACCTATACGAGCCCCTCCATCATGCTAGAGCTCCACTTATCATCAACAACCTAAAACTGAAACCAGACGATCTGATGTTGGATATCGGGGCTGCTACCGGTCAACAAGCACATCTGATATGGAAGCAAGCGGGACTCAAGAACCCTGTGACGTGTGTGGAGCCTTGTGAAGCACTCTTTGAACATGCAAGAAAACTGGATGGTACTGTGCCTGTGATGCAAACAGCAGAACAGTTTTGTGATCATTTAGTTCAAGTGGGAAGTCAGGTTTGTGATCTTACTTAAAAGCGAATAAACAAATGTATCAAAGTTATTTGCAGCTCTAACATGTTTTATTTGGTTTAGCGTCAATTCAACAAGGTGCTGCTTTGTGGTGTAGTGCATCATATCGATGACATTGTTAAATGCCTTGGACAGATCCTCGACTACCTCCCCAAAAATGGTGTTTGTTTCATTTCAAATCAGTCGTTTACCGAAAAATCCTTATCATCTCTGCCGCTGACAGCTTTCCAGCTACGATACTTCAAGGAGACGTCAAACCCATTTGATATCATATTACCCTACGTCAAAAGCCGTGATGATGTCATTACAGAAGTGACCAATGATGAGCCTTCTTTCAGAATTCCCAAAAGTAGGTGGTACTACATGATTCGCAATTACTTTTGGTCGCATTTCCATCAATACACGGATAAAGAGATCGAAGAAAGCATCAAAGAGCTGGATAATGGGAGATTTAAACAAGTCAAAGATGATGAACTGATAACTGTAGTATATAAAGTTACTGGAGTCAAAATAACAAAGAAAGAAATATTGAAAGGCATTTGATTATAAAGTTTATGGCGACAAGTTTAGTAGACGTTTCGTTATGAGTGAATATACATAACTATGGCAATGAAATTTAAATACTGCATGTACATCAAATAATTAGAATCGAAAGGCAATTTGTATTTGAATTTATTTGAATTATTTATACACTTATTATAATAATTTCGAGGGAAATAACTAAGGTAAAAGAATATATAGATAAATGAAAATTTAACGGTAGTTTCAGCATTTCAAACTGCTGAATAGGGGACTAAAATGATAAATCGTTCTATGTGATTCCCCATTTCATAGCTGTGAAGTTTTAGGTTCAAGGTTCAAGGTTCAATTTCGTTTTCCGCTGATTCAAATAAAGTGAAATAATAATAGACAATTGTGGACGACTACCAAGCCGATTCCCTCTTCAGTTTCCTCTTCAGTTGCTTAAAATATGTGGCAGTTGCATAAAATCCCCACCCCCTCCCCCTAAATCCCCCAACCTCCCATAGCTCCTATCGGTGCCTTCCCTGGGCGATAAATGATAAAGGTCCCTAAGTAATAGAAATAACATCATCATCTTATATCTCGATACAGGTTTGCAACATTTATCATCGCTGCCTCATGTTAGTGTCTTTCATTTTCATTGCTCGAGGATTTTTAGTTCTTACTAAGGAATTTAAAATGTCTTTTGATGTCTGCTGTTTGTTCTTCTGGTTCATTATTTCTGTCTGAAAATGGAGAAAGATAAGGTACTGAGATACTCAACACAAAGTAGGATTATTGGTAGGCAATCTTTATTACATATAAGCGAGCAAAAGCAAATATCGATCCATGCACGCACTCACGTAAACAACGCTTTTCCTTTATTCAGTATGGTCAAGGTAGAAGTAGTCCATACTTTGTAGTATTGCATGCAGTATTTCTTGATTATCAAGAACCTTAATGAAGCAGATGGCGTAGAAAAATGTTATGTACATTCCACTAAAGCATGGTGAGTCATACGCTATGCATGATGGGATAGTCTGTTGGCTTATGAAACAAAAATTAACAACTCAATCACCTCCGACGGGACTCGAACCCGCAACCTTCGGCTTAGGAGGCCGACGTCATATCCATTAGACTACAGAGGCTTTTATACAATATAACAATTTTGCGTCGCGTCTCAGCCTTCAACCATGGGAATCAGTTCCCGAAATCGGTGTCCCATTAGCCATTCCGAGGTTAAGGAAAACAATGGGTCGAGTTGGCATTGTCCCCGTTTTAGGGAACATATTTCTAAGATGGCGACTATTTTGTCCACCAAAACAGTCCCACAATGCAGTGCAATACTAACTCGACCCAGTCTCTTCCTTAACCTCGGAATGGCTAATAGTTAGCTAGAGCTGTAGTGATATCGGCAGGAATGATGTTTTGAAGGATGAAAGAAAACAATGGGCTACATAGAAGAGAGTCTATGCGGAAATCTAACTATACGTGGGAGAAAGAATAAGAAAATAAACACAGCAGAAAGACTAGCCTAATAATAGTTAAATTAGGTAAATTCGTCCTCATACGCACGCACAAAGGAGATTTCACCTTTTGTTTTTCGATGAAAAACTACAAACAATTATAGTAAAACATGTAGGGTTTTTAAATCCTTCCTTTTCCATAATGTATTTTTGATCAAGGCGTTGGTTCAGCCACTTAATGTTCATTAGCTTAAAAGCTCACATTTTCATGGGTGCTGCAAATTGCTATTTGGCCAAAGCAAAACGCTGCTTAATCAACATTTTTTACTAAATTTAGTTTATCTTAAGTCAGCATGTCGGCTTATTGTCCAGCAATGAAGAAGCACTAGTTACCGTTCTCTGCAAGCTGATTTGCGTTTGATTTGATTTTGGGCGAGGCGACAGACAATAATGTGGTCAGGTGAAAATTGAATAAAATTCCCGTCGATAATCTTACCAGATATGTGTGTGATTTTAAAGTAGGCGTTTTATTCTGTACTAGCATTCGATTGAGTATTTGTGGTCAGGGAAAAAATCTCTATGGTTGTGTTGTGGTTAAAGATTACTTTGAACAAAGACAATTGAAAATGATTTTAAAAAACTGCATTTATTCGCAACAGCGATCGCAAGTAATGGTTTAATCTCGATATTTTATGCTACAAATTAAAGTTAATTTAATACCTCTGAACTCAAACATAAAACACATAAAAAATATCTAGAAAACGAATAATACGAGTCGCCGGTTTCCTGTATGTGGGCATAGTGTAGTTTTGAATATTATGGCTGCTCTTTTGATTCAAAAGATATCAGCTCACATTGCTCAATAGGACTAGTTGTTAGAAACCAAGAAAGGCTGCGATGCCTGTTTAGCTTTGGGCTCGAAGATACTGACTCATCTCCTAGGCTCCGAGACCATCAACATGGAATGTTTACACGAATCGTAACACTTATTTCAAGCCAAAAATCAACTTGATTTGTTTTCTTCTTTTCAGTATTCTTCTTCTTCGTGAATCGAAAAATTGATCTACAAAGGCGATGAATATTGGAGCTAGTTGCTCTTTTTCTTACCATCGCCGATGGAGTATTTAATGGCTTACTTTATGTATTATTACTGGAGGCAAAGTTTGACGTATTTGGTAGGCATCAATCAATCAAACGAACACAAGATAAAAGAATAATAATAATGTTATGTAGCTGAAGTCAAATCTTAAAAATAAATTCTTTTTCTTGATCTTGATTTTATAATAAAATGTATATAAAAAATACCAAAAAAATTTAGTGAAATAGTAATACCCCAACAAACCATCCGTTCCAGCAAAATTAAGAATATATTTTCATTTCGTGTGGGTTTTTTAATCTTAAGAGGAAGAAATAACAGCCTGTAAAATGAACATTTGTCAAAAGCCATATGTGTGCAAAAAGATCCAACCTGTCCTATGATTGGCTAGTAAGGGTTTCTATAGCGACAGTGATAGTTTTCCTATTGTTTCCTTTTAACTTTATGTTAATTCCCTAAGTACTTTAAAAAGACAGCACCCAATGTATTCATATTTTTTTACTGCAAACATAAAAAATCCATCTTAATTTGCATCTCGTTCACCACCTGGGAGTTGGCTTGACTTGAAAGATATTACCCAGAAAAATAGTTTGTTCGAGGTTTCATGTTCTTTAGTTACCTACATATTATTCATTAATTCGACTTACAAACGTAAGATACTCAGTTTAGTTRAATATTATTCTCAATTTGGGGGATATTTGTTATGTGTTGGGTTTTAGATTTGCCTTTCGACGCTTCTAATCTTCATATGCTTTGTCGACTCGTAGTTAAAGGAAAAACTACAGCTGAAAAAATGGCGCTGAGCTGTGGGATGCAATGCATGAAATATCTTCTCTTTGCTTTCAACCTCGTCTTCTGGGTAAGTAGCGTTCGACTACAGGGTTTACTTTAATTGATCTTTCTGTTCCTGGCGACAAAAATCAAAAATAACTTTCTAGTCATGCTTGTTTTTTGGATTCAGTTCGTTGGTCTTTTTAAAAACCACTTGATTAATCTTTCACTAAAATTTGCTACATAATTTTAGGTAATACAAGTTTATTGTGGTAATATTTTATCTTATTTTTCAAAGCGAAATGCTCGCCCGAATAACCATTTAACCCTAGTATTTTATTTACTTATACAAGCTGCTCAAGGTTGAATAATGAATTGTTATGAATCCAAGAAGCGAAATATCTTCCTCACTCGCTCGCTTCCGCTTCAAAGTCTTTTTGAATAGCGAGCGATATCTTATGCATTTTAAAATCATAAGATAGTCCTCTGATATTCCTGTTGTTAAAAACAAGACTGAAGCCCAAACCCTACAAATCAAATTTACAAGTGTACACTATCTTAATTTCAATTCATCAGAACCCAAAACTTGGCGTTAGTCTAAGTAAATATCGAACGAATATTAAACTCAAACAAGAGAAGGTGTACTGCACTATTCTCTCTATTATTCAAGCTGGTCATCTTCGATTAGATGATCCTAGAAAATCTATTGCTGGTCCACCAGGATATAAATGAAATTCGTTGAGATTATATTAACACATTGATCTCATTTACATTACTTTCCATCTGATACGTCACATTTCTTGTTTCCGGTGGCACGTTTTCTCGGTGGATCAATATTACTTTATGTGGAACAAATAGAACATGGCGAAAATTGGAACTTTTATATTCGTCTGAAATGTTGGTGTGGTGGTTGGCTATTAACCGTATTGCACAGTCTATTCCTGCAGCTATCTTCATTAATAATAAATACTTTTTCCGCTAAGATATCAGAGACATCGGTTTGTTTCCAACAGTCATCTCCACTAAATGGCATTCAAATGATTTGAGAGTTTCTCATTTTTATCTAAGTTGGCTTTAACGGTAGGGCTAGGGGAACAACAAGGTGGTTATCAGATATATAGACAAACTATCCCCCCATCCCTACCCCCATTGGAGTGTTCAGAAAAGAAAAAGTCAATCAGCAGTGCGCATTGGTAGTTTGAAACGAGACGTTAACCTGCCAGTTGAAGAAACCATAGGTCTACCACATATCACATGGCCATGGATTTAAAGAGCTTTAAAAAACCTTTTCCCGAATATTGATTTATTTGTATTGTCTACAATGTTTTGATTGAGGTGGTGGGGAGAATATATACAATGATCAGCCAATCACAGCTGTTCTTTAAGAGACAGGTGTATAGCATTATGATGGGCGTCGATTTCTTGATTGTATCGACATACGACTCTTTCCCTCTTGCTACATTGTATTTTTATAGTACCATCATATGGTGTGACGAGAAATATGGTACTGATTCTTAGGAAGCATGTTACGTCATAGCCGCCATGTTGGTTGACAAACCATCAGTTCCAATGACCATTTTTATTAGCTTCTCTTGTTAGATCGACTAACACGACGGCTGTTTAATTGATATTCATATCTCGTGGGATTTTGAGCCATGTGGTTGCACCCCAAGAATATTGTAAGACCATGTAGCCAGAGGATGTAATTGTGGCCCGTGTTTTGAGCATATAGTTAATAGATATGATTTGAGACAGGAAACACACATTCAGCCATGTCTTTACATAGCTGATGTGACTCGTTTGTGGCTTTAGACCAAACTTCCTTGATATAATTTCAAAGCCAATCTGTTTTGACGAGGCAAGATATCTTTGTGGCTCCAACTGTCGCTCGGGATACGGGATAAAAACACCTAGTATTTCGCCGCTGAAAGCTGTAGGCTATCGGCTTGTTTCATGGTGTGTGTGAAATATCAATAATGAAAGAAAATGATTGAAATTGCTTCTTAATACACCACCACCAACCTTTGAAAATCATTTATAATGAATGAATATTGTTCTTCAATGCCCAATAATTATATCCTGAAAGAAAACACAAGGAAACTGTGACGGTTCCATGAAAAGACAGTCTAGAGGAAGAAGGACATACAAAATCTCTCTCTCTTTCTCTCTCTTTCTCTCTCTTTTTATCTCAAGACATTTTTTGTGACTTTCGTTGCCATCATGTCAAGAAGTTCAAGTCAGTGAATGGTGTCATCCTTCCCTTCAGAGAGAAAATCCGCGCTTTTAGGTCTTCAAAACATTTCATTAAACTGAAAAGAAATATGTTTTTGAATAATCGTCTTAATAGCAGTTGACATACTAAAAGCCATCGTTCAATTCATGAATAACTTTTACAGTTCATAATCAGTCATTTGATAGACGTATGATAGCGAGTAATTCGGGAACACTAGTGACAGAATAGTCTAAGATCTAGAAAAGCCAACAAAGATGAACAGTTTCACGGTTGCACTGTGGCTTTATGGAAACCAGCCATGTGTTTATCCTGAAAAATTAAGACAAAAAAGAATACTCTGGAAGCGTTTGTTTTGAATAAAAAAAGGATTTATTTGTTTCTTTATCACTCGAGTTAGTATATTTCAGACGTAATTCAGCTGCGAGTACATAAATTCATTATATTCCAAGAAATAGACTGAGTTATTTATCCTGATTGGCTAGATTACCTAGATAAAAATCATTATGGCTGTATTAAATATAATTCATTTAATCAAACCAACTCAACAAGATAAATCTGCTGGGTTCATACCAGCAGCAGAAAACAATATGACAGCCACGTGTATTTTCATGATCGCTTTTGTTCTATGTTAACATGCATGATCATCTCTGAGTTTTGAATATTCACCAATATAAAGGATGTTCTTCTGCGCTTAGTAGCAATAACTTCTGAGCTACAAATCACTCCGCCAAAAATCAAGCCCTGAAACAACCTCTTGCCTCTGATCTAAGTCAGGGTACAGCTTACTCACAGATCAAACCCTGAAACA